TTGTGCCTGAATTGTCTCTGCAGTAACACACCAGTTCTACAGACAGTAACACAACAGCCTGTGAAAGCTGATTTAAAATGTTATACAGCTCTCTATATATGTATCAATAGTGAGGACTGGGTTTTTCTAAAACCATTGAGGCAGGTTGGACATTCCTGTGTAAATGCCAGAACAGTGGGGAGATCTACTCAGCAGGAGGATGAGGAGAAATGCACTCTCCTCAGTGCCCAGAGAAAAAGAAATAGCAAAAGCAGTTACGACTCCTAAATCTAAATGAACTGGCTGGGCAGGATTGAACATATCAAATGTCTAAGGGGGAAGGGGCTGTGTTGTGATCTGGGTGCTCACTGTCAGCAGATGTGACACTGCTTGTCCAGCCCGTTGTGCTGCTGGTTCAGGTTCTTCCCTGCAGTTCTTCAGGTTCCTCCTGTCTTGACTCCACACGCCTGGAAGAGCAAAGGGTGTTTTGAACTACATTTGATGCAACTGGAGCAATAAACCACTGTTTGAGAGCTGCCTGATCAAGACAGGTGCACTACAAAACTTAGGCTGGACTATCTTTTGTACCTCTTTGGACACTTTAATTTGAAAATCCCCCCTGCTTCCCCTCTCTTTACTCCCACAGGTTTGTGTTTTGGGATCCTTGCTTCTGAACCCTTATTTGTCTGGAGTTTTCTCTGGGCTTTGTGCTCTGACACTTGAAATAGTGAAGGAGGTACCTCTTAGGCTCTTCAGGCAACACCTGAGTTGCTCGGGCAAAGAAAATTTGGGAACCAGCCACCAAGAACTGAGCTCTGGATACAGAAAAGTGTTGTTTCCTTTGTCACATGGGAGGCAGGGTGGGCTTCTCTTAATTGTTTTTTTTTTGGAGGGGGGCCTGGTGTAGGTGCTTTTTGTGGGGTTTGCTCATCATTGTTGTTTTTTTCCCCAGAAACCTGCAAGAGCTATTTAATGGAATCAGGAGCAGATGAATAGGTGTCATTACCTGTGGGGTTAGAGAAGTACACACAGACAGGCAGTCACTCCTGCCACGTGCTTCCAGTATCCCTACAAATCAAGCTGAGTGCTTCCTTACCTCAGAAAAGAACCAACTTGACACTCATGAGTGTATTGAAGGCGATGCTTTTTGCCAGCAGGACTCTCAAACCCAGCACAGCCACAGACAGCATGTTCACTCTCTGCACTGTGGTACCTGCTCAGGGACAGCAAAAAGAGGAGAGAGACCCTGGCCTGAGTTTGGATGTTGGGATCTTGGCAGAAAGTGGAAAAAGCCACAGGTAACAGCTTCAGGGAAAGGAAGAGCAGCAGAGGAAGAGATGCCAGAGAACATGGCAACACCAGGGGAGGAGGGTGTCTGTCTCTGTTGCTTTTTGCTTCCTGTTGCTTGTGTGTTCCTACAGCAGCAACCTTGAAAAAGCAGCTTGTGTTTGATAAATATGTCATATTCTGACTCCTCTCCCCTTGAGAAATTACCTTTCTATGCATTTATCCCCCAAACAGCAGTGTAACTTCACCGTCTGTTTGGGTCACTAACCTTGGGCAGAGGTGTCTGTGCTGTTGCAAACCCTGTTACTGGTCCTTGTTACTGGTTCTTCAGCCTCCTTTTCTGTAGAATGATAAAGAAAAGGCATTTTTACCCATATCCAATTTTTAGAAAGGATTAAAAAACTGTTCCCATGGCCCTTTCCATAGGGACATGTGGGAAGTAGAGTCTGGGGCTCAGATGATCAGTCACTAATTCCAACAGAAATCTGAGGAGACAATTTCTCCCTGCGGTTGCAGGAAACAAAAGAATTTCTGGGTTGTTTTGGTTTTCCTATTTGAATGACCTTCAAGATGATAAAAACAATTGCACAAAATATAAAAAGTGATTTAGTAAAAAACAAAACCAAATCCCACCACCAGTTTAACTTTTTGTTGGCTTTAGAAAGGCTGTTTCAGGTTGTGCTCCAGGAGGTTTTGCTGCTGCGTGGTGAAATATTGAGGCATAAATAAACTCCCATTTAAAAAAATGGATTGTGCCTTCTCTCCTCCCCCATCAAAAGAAAAGTTTCTCCAATTTATTAAACAGTTGAGACCATTTCTTTTAGATGCTTTTAAACATCTTTCAGCTCTCCCTGCTTAAGTACCAACTGTGTCTCATTTCTGCTGCCCACCCTGGGCAGTGCAGACTATCAGGGAAGAGCAGCACCACAAGTTACTGTCTCCACAAATACATTCCAGCTGTGCCCCCAGATTGTACCTGACGATGCTGTAAAGGTGCCAGTGTCCAAATGGGCCTTGCAGGTCACCTCTGTGTCTTTTGTCACACTGACCACCTTCATAGCACTGTACAACCCCTCTGATGCCAGAATGGGTGTGCTCTGTTCATACACGACCTCATCAGAGGACATCTCCAAGCTGATGCTCTTTGTACTGAAATTCCTTGCCAAACAAGCTGCTTTCCCAGTGCTGCCTCCTTCTTCCAGTTTCTTTGATTTCATCACAATGACTTGTGGGACAGAATGTTTTGGACTGCCTGTAAAAAAAGGTATTTTACTGCAAGCCTGCCTGAGAGCTAAGTCATGAAAATTAATAGACACACCACCTGGGACTGATTTGTAGCATTATCAATGACCAACTGCCTTTTTTTTTTTGCCATTACTTCTTGCTGTTGCTTCCAAAAGATCAAATTAGAGACAGAAAGGGTGTATGAGAGCAGGTATTTTATAGGAGATTTAATTCCACAGGATCTCAGCTTCCTTTTGCCAAAGCTGGTGCCTGTAAGTGAATTCTTCATTTTATAAATTAAGGACCTGCAAAGGAGAAGGGATCTTTTGTGCATGTCACTCCAAGAGTCCAATTATTCTGCTTTCTCAACAATTTAATTCCAAACAATGTCAGCTCTATGAGGACTGCCTTGCATATTCGTGAGACATGAGGGAATAACTGTTTTTCCCTTTACTCTCCCTCCCCTCTCCAAATCTCCTGTTGTGGTTGAGAGGTCCAACCACAGCAGGAGTGGCAGGGAGAGCAGAGCTCAGTTTGTTGCCTCACTGCTGTGCAAGGTTCCCCCTCTGAGTGATGTTACTTGCAGAAATGAAGGAGGGGGACAAGGCTGAGCTTTTCCATAACAAATGCTCAGGTGCAAGAAGGACTTCTGTCTGTAAGATGGGAAAGTAGGAGAGAAGCAATTGAAAGTCTGTGAATTATATATCTCCACACAGAATCACAGAATGGGTTGGGTTGGAAGGGACCCTAAAGGCCATCTGGTTCCAGCCCCTGCCATGGGCAGTGATGTCACTCACTAGTTCTGCTCCAGAAGTTCCTGACAAGGCCAAGAACTTTCATTGTGGGGGAGGTTTTCCCCACTGGACATTGCACAAGGTGTAAGACATTCCAACCAGTCTGCAGGCAATGAGGAGAGAACAGGATTGGTCCTTGGTTCAACAACTCTTGTGCCTGTTCCAAAAGTGTGACCGTTCTCCCCCTGTGCTGTGCCGTGTCGTCAGACCCACGGCTCTGGAGCAGTGGGAAGTGTAATGCAGAGTTTGTTTAATAAACTGATTGGAGGGAAAGAATATCCTAGGGCCTACAAACATGATGCTCATGGACAAATCTTACAATATTCCTTAGAGTAGTGTAATAACCTTCAGTGGTGGTCCTTTAGCACTAAGATACCAAAAAACATTGAGACATGAAAATGAGACTTTAGACAGAATCTAAAAGATGGTGACAACTTTTCACAGGATTTGAGATCCTTGCTTTGATCCGTCAGAAATTTGGTTACTCTGAAAATGTTAGATGTATTTTTTCAGTTTTGAAAGAATTTTAGAGTTGAATTCCCCCAGAAATACATGAGTGACAAGGGTTTGACAAGTAAAACAGACTGAATTTCAATGGTATAGCAGAAGCCTTCTCTGGGAATTTTTTAGAAGACATACAAGTAATGAAATAAGATTGCTTTACTTCCAAGAGCTGTCTTTTATGGTAACGGTCTCAAAAGAATTTTGTAACCAAAAAATCATTGTGATACCATGGGGCTTTTTTTACACAAAATATCTTTGCCTTCAGGTCAGGCCATATTTGGAGAATCCAGGATGACTTCACAAACCAATGTCAGGACTTTATTCAGATTAGTAATTTGAATTATAGTAAAAACATGTAACTGAAAGGAATCCTCTATCACCCTTCCTTGCCAGAAAGGCTTAGCTTATGAAAGGGTGTCAGACATACTAAAAAAGATTCACATGTCTAATTTGACAGAAGCATCCTGGTGGGTCTCTTCGCTAAAGAGAGGGGCATCAGGGTTTTGATTTTGCATGGTGTCTGCCTTGCAGTCTGGTCAAGGGATCTCTCATGTCAAACATCTTGTTCATCACAGGACACTTCACCAGAGTTTGATCAAGGAGCTCTGATTTTACACTCTTTCCCCATCACCCTAAAGTGGTGAGGAACTGAGGTGAAAGCCAAACCATGCTCTGCCACAACTTCAGGGGTCAGCTCTGCTGATAAATCAGGCAAAACTACACTCTTGTCCACACCTACAGCAACCAGACACTCCACAGAAATCAGACATTCATTGGCAGGAAAAAAAGGGAAAATTCAAACAATAACAACTCAGAAAAGGATAATGCATAAAGGACACCTACTTGGCTCCACGGTCAGTTGAGTTCCTTTCCCAAAGACAAGAGCAGCAGTTACACACAGTTAAAACACACAGATCAAAAAAGGCTTGTTTTTCTATTCTTCCTACACACATTTCCTTCCCAGGTGTTGTAACATGGTTTGCCAGAGCATTGTAGTCCTGTGCATTCTGCCTTATCTGAGAAGATCTTTAAAGGCTTTTCATGTTTTCTCCTCTCCAGTATTTCCAAACAGCCACTACAATAACAAGCTGCTGCTCTGCAATAACTCACTGGGCAAGATCTTCAGCGAAACAATGTACACATTGCAACTGTTAGTAAAGCAGAATAATTTTTTATCAGACCCCAGAAGCCTTTACTGAGTCCCACCATTTTGCATTACCTGAAAATACAGCCATGAATTCCTACATCTGCTTGTCTTTGGGAGATATTTCTGTATTACGTTCTGGGATTTTATTAGGACAGAAAGTTGTACTTCTGTTTCATTTTAGTCTAACAAGGTCACAGGAAGAGTCATATATTCTGTAGAGTCATGGGCCTTAGTATTCTTAACAAAAGTTTTGTCTGGAATAAATCAACCCACACCAACCCAAAAACCTTGTCTATCCTCAAGAGAATATGACTGAGGTATCCTATAGTGACACTAATGGTTGTTATTTGATGTCATTTTGATTTGGAGCGATTCTCAAAAGATTTGGATAATAAAGTATATCTACTCTAAACATCTTAAAATGCATATTAGTAGCTCCCAAAGAAAATCAAAACCAAAAGAGTGAGGTTGTTCACATTCTGGAAATTTAGGCTTCAACTTATTAAGTATTTCAATGGACACTGAGAGACTTAGATACTTAGGGCCCAATATCTTTTACTGTCACACATAATCTGAAAGTCTTTGTGCAGCTTTGAAAATATCTCATCTTTAGCTACAAAAAGAAAATCATTAACAATACAGAAAGAATGGGTTTTTCTTCAAAAGGATAACTTGGCATTCCTTTGCCCCTTTGGAATTGGAAGTGGACTGAGATTGTTCCAAAACAGACATTTATTCCCATGCAACATCTCCTACAGGCATGGGCAGATATTAGGCAGCACCTCAGGCAGTCCCAAGCCCTTCTGAAATGACAGCAGGGTGTTTTAGGAATGTAAAATGACATGGGACATTTTTGCAGCACTATAAAGACATGCAGACCTCTGAAAGCACAGCAGCAAGTCCTGGATCTTTAGGATAACACAGAGCAACCTGACAATCTCCTCTGACACCCCAACACTCACATTCCCATAGAAAAGCTTGGGGTGACATCCACCTTTTTTGTACATCAGGAAAGTCCAAATAAAGATAGGAATAACAACTATGGCTTGTTATCATCCCTACTCCCCACACCTGTGTTTTCAAAGCTCACACAACTTGGGAGCCAGTTGTCTTTCATTCTAGGAGGTCTTGGATATGAGGCACCTGTGAAAACTGAAGGCCAGGGATATTTAACCTCCTTCCTCCTCTGTCTCCATGCCAGTGGAATTGCTTCCCTGGGGACACTGTGAGTGTGGTGCCAGTGTCAAAACTTCTCCAACCAGACAGTTAAAGATCTGTCTCAGAACTTCTCCCCACTGTGAGCTCTCCACTGAGCTGTGCATTCCTGCCCAAAGGCAGTCAGTGAAGATCCACTGGAGAAGAGGAGCCTTCAGAGTCAGTTTGGGCCAGAGTGGTGTCCAAAGTGGGAATAAATTGTAACATGTTCAGTAGTGCACACCTGGTGTTTGGGGATCATGGAATGAAGGTGTTACACAGAGTTAGGCCAGTTGTTCCTGTGAAACCTTCCTAAGCAGCTCCAAGCTGAGGATTTGGCTGGAAAGCCTGGCTGGAGAGAGAGAGTGCACTCAAGGGATTATTGCAGCAGAAAATTCTTGCAGTGAACCCAAACCATTAGATTCCTTTTTCTTCCCCCACTTTAATTTTAACACAAGTTTTAGAAATAGATAAAAAAAGGTACTTACTTGGTACAACTGTGACAGTGGTCCCTGGTCCAAATACAAGCTTATCATCCTCACACTGCTAATACTCATTGCAATAAATCACTCTTTCCACATGGCAATCAAAAGGGTAGAAAAAACAGGAGATGAAAAGTTAGACATTTTTCTTAATTATCTATGTGTGCAACTCCTTGAGGGTATCCAGAGGCATATTTTCTTCCAAAACTGGAAAGAGAAAAACAATAATGGAATAGCTAATGACTTCAAATAGCTTGATTGAGTATAGGACTTCCAAGTTCACCCTTTCTTCCATAGTTTAGAAACTTCATGACCTCTATCTTTCCAGGATAAACAGAAATATAAAAAGAATGTTCTGTTTGTCTCTTTAATCATCACAGTCACCCATCTTCTTTCCTTCCCAAAATATATTGCCTTTTTACCTTCTTTGGGTTTTTGTACAGGGCCCTGTGCTGTTTATATCATTGTGGTACTCCAGCCCCAGTACACAGTGATATATTTCACTGCAAAAACTGCCTCTCTTCCACTACACAGAATTTTGGATTATACAGGCAGTCATGTGACTTCTCAAGTGGTTCAAGACCCAACCTACCACATGAAGAAACACAATATGGCTTTGAAGGAACAGTCTAAGAAAATTTCAGCAAGGTTGAATTAAAAATGAAAACTTGGGGATTACATGACACCTCTGAAAACTCTGATGGAGTTAAGCTGGATAGAAAGCAGGAAAAAAATCAGTACACAGTGTTATTCCAAAGCATTTCAGAAAATTCTTCTGACTTGCAGGAAGTTGTCTATATTTTCACCTGTAATTTGGTGTCATGCTCAGAAGCATGAGAAATGTGCTTCTCTTGGCTCTTAGAATTGGTATCTGGGGGTCACTTAGTACCTCAGAAAGTCTTTAGGCTGCTTTGGGTAAAATGAGAGAGTAGGCTAAATGATGGTTCTTTGTTATGTAGAGGCACTGTGGCCATGGGAGTGACTATCAGAGATTAAAGGAGCTGTTGCAGAATTATCAAATCCTTCATGATGATCAACTTGTGCAGCCTTAACATGATCTGGACCTTGATGGCAAGACATGGACTCCACCTCTGAGCCTCTGCAGCTTCAAGAGCCCACTTCTCCCTTTTCCAACAAAGGAGAGGCAGGTTGAGTCTGTGCCCATTGGGATGGGAAATGGGGGTTGCCAGGGTGACAAAGGCTGGGAGCTCCTGGCACCAAGGCGAAGGCTCTTGTTTCACATGAAGATTTGCAGCCACAGAGTGGACTCCGTGCTGTCCTGGCAAAGGAGGAGCTGGGAGCTCTGCCAAACAAGGGCTCTGAGCCATCGCCCACGAGCCACACGGGAGCACCAGAAAAAGTGCTGAGTGACAGCAATGGAAGGCTCCGTGCTGCTGGACCAGTCATCTCCTTGCCATGGACTCAAACTGGGGACACTTTTAATGGACTTGCCCAACTTATTGCACCTGCAGTCCATTACCCCTCCTTCTCTTCCTTGGGGGTATTAATGACAGTGCCATGGCAGTCCTGGGAAGCAGCAGACAGGCTCTGGGAGTGTTGGGAGGAATGGGTTAAGAGCAGAAGAGAGGTGAGGAGGATTGTAAATCACTCGTGTGACCTTGCAGTGGGGAATAACCCTCGATAACCCAGAGTGAACTGCAGCCCGTGACCCTCCAGCACCCACCGAGTTCAGAAGCCGCTGCCTCTGTTGGTGCCTCTGCCTGGGTGTTGCTTTGGGATTCCCAGGGTTACCAAGGTAATGAAAACAAATTTACTCTTTGTGTTCTAGTCCTGAGTTGGTGTCTGTTCCAGCTGCCTGTCTGTGCTGACTCACATGGGGTGATGGCCAAGGGCGTGTGGGCCCACATGGGATTCTCCTTGATCCTGCTGCTGAGGGGGGAGGTGGAGAGAAGGAGGAGTGGATGAATCCTGGTGGTCAACAGTTGGTTACACAGCTGGCATTGACAAATGGACTTGGTTTCTATGACCATGAGATCTTTTTGGAGGACTGAGGGCTCTTTGGAAGTGATGAGACCCACCCGATTCAATTAGGCAAAAACTTCTTTGCCAACAAACTAGCCAACCTGATAAAAGCTTTAAATTGGGAACAACAGAGGAGGAAACAGATAATAAATAAGTGAGGAATGGGATGAACAGGACAGGCTTCATTATAAAAAGAGAAAAAAGGGCTGAAAGGGTTGCACTTCAAGAGTGTGCACTAAATAAGGAAGTATTTATGGGGGAAAAGAAATCCCTCTGGGCTTCTGGGAAATTACCATGGCTGGGTGCCTCTGTACAATGCCTGTGCAGGAACACTTGCAGGGTGGGGAACAAATGAGAAATTAGAGCTCCAACAGCAGCTGCAGGGCTACAATCTCTCACAGCAGAGATGTGGTGGGGCAGCTCACCTGACCCAGGAACTGCAATGGGTGGTGCAGTGCAGATTAGTGCACATTGCCTGGGCTCCTCTCCAACAGAGAATCCTGGAATGGTGTGGGTTGGAAGGGACCTTAAAGATCATCCAGTTCCAATTCCCTGCCATGGGCAGGGACACCTTCCACTAGCCCAGGTTGCTCCAAGCCCCATCCAACCTGGCCTTGGACACTTCCAGGGATGGGGCAGCCACAGCTGCTCTGGGCAACCTGTGCCCGGGCCTCACCACCCTCACAGGGAAGAATTTCTTCCTAATTCCCTCTTTTTCCAAAGTCCCTCTCCAGCTCCCTTGGAGCCCCTTTAGGCACTGGAAGGGGCTCTCAGGTCTCCCTGGAGCCTTCCCTTCTTCAGGCTGAACAAGCCCAGGTTTCTCAGCCTTGCAGTTTTAACACTGGTTTCAGAGCTGTGGGGTCATGGAGATGTGGAGGGATAGCTTTCAGCAGCATTATAGCAACTGAAGGCTGATTACCAAAGTCAGATTGAGAAGGGAAGCGAGTTGCAGAAGCTATTGAGGAACAAGGTGGATCAAGTCAGGTTGTAGAGCTGAAGGTCGTCCAGCTGACTTCAGATATCACTGAACAAGAGAAATGGCCAGAGCTCTACCTCTCCACTGACTCGCAGATGGTGGCAAAGGCTCTGTGGG